CGAAGGAAGAGGCAGGCTGGACAGAAAGACCCATGATATAGAGAAGAACGTAGGGCAACCAGTTGATTCTTTGCACAAACATATTGAACCAACCAGAGTTTACAGAATTTGCTGTCATGTTGTCCCATGTTTGTTCTTCGCCGGAATAGTAAACACAAGACATGGGAACCAATAGGAATTGGAGATTGAACTTCATTTCTCATATTTTTGTTTATGCTGTCTACATTATATTATGTACGCAATTAACAGGAACATGTGTAGGCCAAAAAGAGGTTGGATAGCAGTTTGGAGATTTGGAGAGTGGGTCGTGAGGAAACCTCTCTGTCAACTCTTGCCTCGAGTGGAAATATAGAAGGAACCTACTAGCGATGGCCTCCAACCTAAGAGCAATGGCCTCCAACAGAGGAAGCGTCTCCAGCGATGGCCTTATTTTGCTATTATTCTGTCTTATGGAACATTGAACAACACATATATGCATATATGTAGAAGGTTGGTTGTGCCAGTATGCTCACATCCTCAGAATCAGTACAACAGCCAATAGCTCTCTCTTTTTGCATCACAGTGAGGTAAACTCAACGATTCTCGGTCCTCCCGGAAGCACCCGCCAGGAGCAATGAGCAAAGCCTGCAGGAGTTTGCGCTTGCCCGGACAAACAGACTGAGACTCGGTATCACTGGAGACCAATAGATGCCCTTTGACTCAACCAATTTGACCAGTGGTTGGTTGATTACAGTAGAGGGGACACCCCCAAGTGAACAACCAAGAGGTATGTCAGTACCTCGCATCGACCAGAAGGACACTGCTGCCGGCGGTTTGTTCGTCCCCCGTCGTCCGCCAGCGACGAAGCGAAGTGGAGCGTTCACGCAGGATCAGTTGAGCAGCTTAGAGCAGACGCTGGAGGAGCATCCAGCTTTGAAGGCTTTGTGAGATGTGATGTTTTGTGTTTGATGGGTTTTTTTGTTGGCAGAATCTAGAGACATCATGAGGTTTGTGCTATCTACTCTGAAACCACTGTAGGTGGTTGGGAAGTGCCGCAATTGTTCAACAAACTCAGTGCTATGGCGTCTCTTTTCCGGGAAATGAGAGGAGCGAATTGAAGACTGCAGGTGTCTCTGAGATGTCCCCTGTTTAACACCAACTCAACCCAGCAGATTCAAGGATGGATGAGACACCTAGCGCCTGAACCCGGCCACTTGCAGGATAGAACCATGGTCACGTTTGGGTGATGGGTGCATGCACATGTGCGTTTCGCTTCACTATCACTCAGTTGATCTCCGTTGTCGTCCAATACCACGGGAGACTTCGGAGACTTCGTCCGCCGGCCTATCCGCCGTTGGGCAGGACCGGCAGCGGAGCGTCGTGAGGGACCTGGAACAATTGAAGACGGACTGCAGCAAGGAGCCACTCGGAGGAACGATGAGACGGACTGGAGGCACGACCGGTTTTTCTTTGTTTCCTCCCCCAACCAAAGGGGGCGAAGCTACAGTAATCATCCACATGTTTTTGAATCATGTGTCATGTGGACGCTTGATTAGTGGACCCCCCTTCATATCCACAGGATGTTTCACAACTATACTCTCTATATATGGGGGATAACTAATGAACGTAAGCATCAATGTGTTTACTATCGGTTCCTCAAGCAGTTCTTTTCATTGGACACTACCCGGTGGATTTCCCGGGCAGCCGGGCAGTGCCTCCTTCACTTCAGGGAGGTCGCAATGGACATGATCGACATTCGCGTATCACGCATGCCTTCCAACAGAGGTTAAGTGACCTTATAGGACCCTACAGGGGTACCTATAGGGTAGTCTATAGGGTTCTTCAACCTCTGTTGGTTATTTAGCAGGGTCTTTCGGGGGTTTGGGGGGGGTCGGACGGCTTTTTCTCAGACACGACAACGCTTGGTTCCAACACCGAAGACCTCCTGACACCATGGTACCCTTTTGTCAAGAGCTTACAACCATTCATTGGCCTCCTGCACGGATGGAAACCCCAAAAAAGAAGAAGCCAGATGGCTATAGCCACCAGTGGCATAAAGAACACTCCACCAGTGGCATCCTGAAGCGTTTGTTTTACAGTTTCCCGAACCCTTTGGGCGGTGAAATATGGCGCTTTGCTTGACCAAAAACAGTCAAATGAGAATTATGTATACAATAGCAATAGTGTTTATGAAGGTAATGCCTTGTTAATGCCCAAGATTGCCCAAGCTATGGAGCAAACAAAAGTTGGCCCCAGTTCTGCTTCGGATGACCTCAGTTCTGCTTTGGATGGCCTCAGGTTTGCGTTTGCTCAGTCCACTTGGGCGAGAATCATTGATTGGCAGGCTCAGGCGGGGAAAAGAGGCGAATGAGACATGGATTTGGGCACCAGTTTTGCACTTCTCGCAGGTTATGCCGTAGCGCTCCAAATACCTCCTGAGAAGATGGGACTGGGGTGGGTGCCAGGAGGAATCAGGAAGGTCTTAGTACCTTCTGAAGCGGTAGTTGGAGGTACTTGGAGCCCTAGGTGACGATGCTTTAACTACTTTGCAGATTTTGCAGTACTTACATTACGTTATTATTTACATTGTTGTTTTGGTTGATTTTTATAGAGATGAACCTCCTTGCGTCTCCAGAAGTTCCTTCAAGAGTTGGGTGTCTCAAACTGGGGATTCACGGTATCAAGCCGGGTGCCTGAACGTGAAAAGACGACCGAGGATGCGGATCCATCTGGTTTGTACAGCGCGAATGAACCCCAAATCCGAAAGGACTTGGGAGATCTAAAAAATATCAGACAACTTATAGGTTCCCGGAAACTTTGCCGATTGACCTCGCAAGACTGTGAGACTGTAAGTAAGCTCCCAACAGCTCAAGGCTGGCAGCCTCTCATATCCTGAAATTGAAAAACCAAGTCCAGCATCTATACGCGAAAAGACTCCGAGTTGATCCCCACCTGTCAGGTGAGGGTTGTTAGATTTTACGTCAGCCCCATCTCCTCCTCCTCCTCCTTCTCCTTCTCCTCCGCGTCCTCCTCCTCCTCCGCCTCCTCCGCCGGACCTCAACCACGACCATCCACGCCCAGTGTTCCCTGCCGGACCTCAACCACGACCATCCACGCCCAGTGTCCCCTGCCGGACCTCAACCACGACCATCCATGCCCAGTGTTCCCTGCCGGACCTCAACCACGACCATCCGCGCCCAGTGTTCCCTGCCGGACCTCAACTGCGAGCTCCAGGCCCAAGTGTTCCCTGCCGGACCTCAAACCGCAGCACACAGCCACAACCACAATCACAAACACATAACCACAAACACAACTACAAACACACAACTACAAACACAACCAGACACACACACACAATCACAAACACATGCAAACACAACCACAAACACACAACCACAAACACATCTACAAACACAACCACAAACACACAACCACAAACACACAACCACAAACACAAAACAACAAGCACACAACCACAAACACACAACCACAAACGCAACCACAAACACACAACCTCAAACGCATCCACAACCACAACCACAACTACAAACACACAATCACGACCACTACCAGTACCACAAACACAATCACAAACACACAGCCACAAACACAATCACAAAAACACAGCCACAAACACAACCGCAAACACATCTACAAACACACAATCACAAACACACAGCCACAAACACACAGTCACAAACACAACCACAACACAGCACACAACCACAACCACAACGCACAACCACAACGACAACACAGCACACAACCACAAGCACAACACACAACCACAGCACACAACCCGAGGACCTACAAGCAAAATCGAGAACTACAACACTCACGACCATGGCAACATGCTCCTCACTATGGCATCAAGACAAATGATTGAAATGTCATGGTGGGGATCACTCGAAGTATTTATGTCCTCTTTGAAGGGACAGTCGGCCACTCGATGTGGTTCTTCGAATCACTTCGTTGCCATTTACTTTGACGCTGTGTCCGCCGGATGGTTCCCAGTCCTGGGACCTCAGCTGTTTGCCTCGCTCAGGTGGATGTCGCAACCTTGCAGCAGCATGGCAAGCTTGATCTCTCCAGGCAGGTTCGGACTCGCTCCGTCCCATGGTCCATTCCCTTGCGGCAACACGGACTCCGGTGGATCTGAAATCCGAAAGTGGGAAACATCGCGCGCCAGAGAACCCCCGAAGCAGGAGAGTTCCCTGCTCCCGCTCGAAGAATATCAGGTGAACAGAACCGGCCCACTCCCCGTCTGGAGGGCCAAGCTAGACTGGCAGACATGGATGCGCGGCAGGGCGTTTCTAGGGGGACCCCAAGCTGGTAAACCCCATATGCATCCGAGTTCTCTTCGACGAATGCGCGTGGCTGAGTCCAAAGTTCTCTGCCGCGGGGCTGGAGAATTTGGTGCTCCACTTGAGGCTGCAGGCCGGATCTCATTGAGGCTGTGGATGGATGTGTTCTCATGCCGACTCCAATGGTCACCACCCTCAGCAAAAACAAGGGAACTCAACGGCGTGTTTACAGGGAGAGAATAAGGAATTCAGATTCATGTTTTCTATTGCCAGCGTGTAAAGCAATGTAGCACATGTGTCTCTCTTGGAGGATGTCGCAGCCAAAATGTTGCCCTCGATAGATAGATATGCCTTTCGTTTGGGGGACGGGTTGAATGATGGACAACGGAGTTTTTTTTCTGCTGTGGGCCCTGTGAGCTGTGGGGTAAGGGGTTGAAAAGAAAACATGATGATCAATGATGATCCTCATTTTCCCACAGGTGGACTATGTATACAGCAAATCTTTCATGCGAGCCAGTCCTTGTTGAATCTGATACCAGACCGCAACACAGATGGTTCGATCTGTGTATCTTCACAAGAAAAAGAGCCTCATATAGAAGCAGGTCCCAAACCCATGACGTGTGTGGGGAGTGTTCCGTCACCGAGGCAAAGGGTCGTAGGTCCACGTGAGCTGTGCGACGTACTGCAGCCATTGGCTTGACAGCGAAGACGACAGAGATGGAGCAGGCGTACCCGACGGGTGTCAACGGCGGGAGGCAGGTCTCAAACCCATGACTGGTGGTATAGAAGCGAAAGCAGTTTGCCCAAGGTGTCTTTGATGTCACTTTTGGGTTGTGGAGAGATTCCTTCCCCCGATTTTCAGATTTTGCAAAGGACCTTTGGCAAGGGGCCTAAAAACATGCATTTGATTGCATTATATTGCATAATATATGAATCAATGATCATATAATGTTTTAGTCAAAAAAATCTGAGCAGCCCTCTCAATACATCTCAATACCATCTGAAAAAAAAAGAAAACAATCAAATACGACAGGTGAGTCAAGCGACTCGTCCCCAAGAGAATTTTCTTTGGCAGCTTCGCTCCAAGACTCGGTCCGGACGCACCGGACCGAGCAAGGAGTCAGCGTGTCCAGGTGCTTCCATGGCTGCGGGAGTCAGTAGCGCCTCACTGCAACTTGGCGATGTTGGTCAAGTTCGCCGGTGGAGCGAACGTGAGGGTCGCCAACTGCTTCCTCTTCGCATGCTTATCTTCACAAGGGTGGCCAATTCCTGAGGTCGGGAATTTTGCGGGCTGATAAGGTACCAATCTGCTGATTAGGTACATGGGACTTTTGACATCTTTTGACATCATGTAGGATCATGTATGAGTCCCACCCTTGATCGCACCCGTCTCGTTCAGGATCCATGGGATCATGGTACTTCAGTCAGTGGATCGCACCCAACACCAACACCAACGCCGCCGGGAGGTCCACAGTCCAGATCGTTCCTCGTCGTCGCCCTCGGTCTCGGAACCCGAAGCAAGCGGCCAAATCTTTGGACAACGAGAGCGGCCATTGCTGCGCAGGTCTCACAGGGTTCCTGAAGAAGTTGGCACGAAGCCATGGCAGCGAGGAGGCGTTGGACAAAGAAAACGGCGCGAAACGTGACGAAACGCGACGGCATGACTCGGTAGAGTGGTGTGGCTGTGGGCACCTGAGAAAGATGGATTTGCGTGAACGAAAGTGACAAAGATGACATAGCCTTCGCTTGCAACGGCTACAGACTGACGGCTGCCAAGTGCGCGGACATCAGCCATTGCAAGAACCAGTCCGATTAAATGGTTCCTTTTGACTCTTCAGAGATGGACATGATTTGTTTGTATAGGGAACGCATGGGACAGTCCAGACGGGCTGTCAACAACCTATTGCAGGTCCCTAAAGTACCGGTGAAGATGGTTTTTGAATTTGTTCGTTTACACAGACATGGGACTTCAGAGTGCACACTGCTCTTGGACTGGACTTCCATTCGATTCACCCGGTTCTCCAGGCGTGCCGCCTCTTGGGAGCCCTGCAGGAGCGTCGTGGATCGGTGAGAAGCGCCAGACTCCTCCGGTTCGGGTCGGTCGGGGGTGAGGCAAAACAAAGGCGTTGGGGCTCCAGGTGCTGCCTTTGGGATCTACTAGAGTTCCTACTAGATATTTGCCAGTTGCAAAAAGCAAATGCATGGGTCATGGGTGTGTCATAAACCGAGATGCTGATGTTGAGAACATGTCGTTTCAAGAGAAACACGGAGTCTCCCTCAGTGAGGAGAATCGGTCCCTGGGTTTGGAGGCTGCGAATATTTCGCCCCTCCATATTGATTCCACATGTGGAGTTCTATTCATCAACAGTCCGACGACTTCCAACTTATATTATGATTGGACCTTTTCCTTCAACGCCCCCCAAGAAAGAGAGAACCTCTTCACTGTAGGGTACTTATTGGACCCAAGCAGAAACTCGTCCAAACGCCGAGTTTCTCGGGGATTCCCATCGACCGTTCTGGAATCCTTGGAAATTGACTGGACAGGTCGTTTTCTCGGTGAAATTGCCTGGGTGGGTTCGTCAGGATGGTGCAAGACCTACCCAGACACTCGACACTCCATATATGGAATACTGTAATAGACTGATGTCTACATTTAGGTGGCTTCATTGGGGCATATATACCGATGGAGTGTTTGGGCTATAGTTGTTTGTATTTTTCTTTGCTATGAATCCTTGGAGGGAGAGATCCACAATCGGATTGATTGAAATATATTGAAATGCTTTTCGGGAGTCTGCTGGGGATCTCCATCTATTTGAGGCAGGGACTCCAACATAGATGAAACCTACCGAGGGTTCTGGAGGGGCCTGTTGACTTTTCAATGGGCACAGGGATGCCACGGTGTGCTGAGTGCTTGTGAATGTCTCCACCCAAGATCAATGTTATTTATGTTGCTTCCTCTGGTGTTCAGTGTGCAGCGTGCAGACACTTTGAATCAATGCCCATTCGTTGAACAAACTGTGCGGTGCTTAGGCCGCTGTTTAGGGTGAGATTCCCCGTGGGACTTGAGCCACACACCATAATGTGGCGCCGAAGATGAAGGTGACAATAGTACAGATGAACTTGATGAAGCTGTGAGATTATGAAAAGAATGACGGTGGTGATGATGATGATGATGATGAAGGTGGTGATGATGATGACGGTGATGACGGTGATGAGGATGATGATGATGATGATGATGATGATGATGATGACCACATTAATATCAGCATCGTCATTACTATTATCACTATCCTCGTTCTTTTTGCCATCACCCTCATCACCGTTATCAACAACATCATCTCCTCGCCATCATCACCTCCATCATGCTGCTTGCTATCATCCTTGTCATCACCGTCATCTTCACCAATCTTCACCATCAAGCGGCTTTCTCGGATGACCGAAGACCCGATGTGTGCAATGCGGCTGAAAGAAGGAGGCTCTCACCCCTATGATTTGCCCTAGTGAAGAGCACCTGTTTGTTAACCCGGAAACGCCCGGAACCGTTGTCAAGGCACCTTCGATCGATCGAGGGTGCTTTTGCAGTTTCGGTCTCATGCTTGATGAGACGTTCAAAGATTGATTTCGTGCCGCTGGTCATGTCCTTGGCCTTGGAAAGCTGAGGATTGGAAACCAACGTCATTCACTACTCATGCGTGACCAGCTCAGCAGCGATCTTTGGTTTCGGAAGCCGGCACAGGGGAGAGGACTCTCTTGTTGCCGATGCTGACAAGGGCGCGTTGATGTTTCCTCCAAACAACACTGACACTGGTTTGGTAAATGTCGATGGAGTCCAAAAATGTCAGAAAAGTGGGACACTGGGGATATCTGGGGATCATTTCCAGGTGCTTGCAAGGGGTACTCTCATTTCCCGGGCTTCTGCGCTCTGGAAAGTAGTGTTCAGGTGATGTCCGCCTGCGATGCTGAGAGAAATTGGCCCTTGGCACTCCAATTGAGCCTTGTCCTGTGGGAAAATGTCAAGATGACAGGAGTGAGTCTCACACATTCATCAACTCAGCAATCACTCTGTGCTTCGTTCTCTCACCTTAATTACTCTCTAGCAGCGCAGCTGGTAGCTCCAACAAAAGTGTTGCACAGGTTTTCACATGTTTTCACATGATCAGTCTGAACTATCATAAGACAATCAGGATCACTTTGACATCTTGTGTTCATGTTCATGTTTGACCCTTGGACGCCTTGGACTTGTTGTTTCTTCGGTGCCTCGATCCGGTCCATTCCTTCTGGGCAAAAAGACCGTTGTTTGCGCGACATCTCCAGCCATCCCCTCGTCTTCTCCACCGCGAAAACGCGGTGTCACCGTGATGTTTTTCGGCACCACGGTCCAAGGCTTCAAGAGATGAGTCAAGGAGAACTGCAAGCAGATGTCCTGGTCTACAATCATGCTGCACATGCAGTGAGCAGCTTCTGGATTGGAGGAGGGAAGATTTGTGGGAAGACACAGTTTAAGTCCTTCCATGTTTTGCGGGTTGCACTTGGAGATAGGGGAATCCGAAGTGAAAGCATGGGTACTTCCACCCGCAAAACCATGGGAATTGTCCGAATGGTGCAGCGAAACCCATTGATTTGGTTTCTCGGGGAAACTTCCAGGAAGTTTCTGACTTCAGACGACAATGTGGGAAGTTATGTGCTGCAAGCTGGTTTGCCTTGTGGTTGCGGCACACGAGCGCAAGAATTAGTAGAGGTTGCAAGATTCTGAATGTTGGAACGCAAATGCATGCAGTTTTGACAATTTTGCATTGCAAAGCAACCATTTTCAGGACAAATCTTGTAAAAATACTGGGAGCCAGGGCAAGCAGTCAACTGACAAGAAACAATATGATGCAGCAGTACTCGACACTCTATGAACACTTCCATATTGATATATTAAATATTATGCATTTGTATAACAAGTTTCGTTGTATACCATGCCATGCACATGCAAACAGTATAAACATCTAAATGGTTGCTACAACGTTGATGAAAGAAATCCTTTTGGATCCCTCGATCACCGTATGTATCGTAGTTGTCCCTGTCCTAAGTGGTAGAGCAGCTAGAGGTTTTCCTTTCTTCACCCGCATTTTGTGGATGGGCCTTCATGGAGCGTTGATACGATAAACAGGGAAATAGATATCCAAAAAGTTTGACCTCTTGATGTCGGTGCTTTTTGATTCCTTTCCGGAGTTAGCTGCCACTACGTTGCTACAGTTAACTCTGTTTCATATGTTTTGCAGATTGGTTTAGGCTTTGCTTTTGCATGGTTTAGACCTGGCTTTAGCAGATTGGTTTTGACCTGGGTGTTGGTTTGTTTCCCACCTCTAACAAGCGACCAAAACCATTCCTGCGAGTTTGGCCGTTTGGATTGTTTGTTGGAAACAAAGGAAAGTACAACAGGAATCGGAATTGTTTTACTGAAAAGGTAACAACCGTAAATCCAAAACCTCCGCTGACACCAACAATCTCAGGTCCAGTTGTGCAAAAGCGTCTGGAATTTAGAACAGTTTTGGAAATCTATATAACCCCGAACCCCGTGGTTAGAAAACAATACCCACAACTCAGCCGTGAAGGTCTGAAAAATGGACACATTTTCAATGTAGACCCTGTGCACATGAGCATTGTAGACATTGAGGATCTAAGCTTGAAAAATTGGTGCTGTGGATTTTTTATATAGTGAGTCTTTCTTGTTCTTTTTTGTTCGAGAAACCAAATCTTGATGGAATGTGAACAGACATGCTGCATCTCGCAAACGCGGCCATATTGAGAAACAAAAAATTGCTTGTACGGTTTTCCAGGACTATATGTTTTTGGAGTTACTACAGTGAAGTCTGGAATCAAGTCTTGAAATCTAAGCTAGATTAAGCCTTGCGCGAAAGGAGACGTAAATGGTGGCTGTCAACAATAATTCAAGAAAACAATGCGCGGAGTACGAACAATAAGATCAAGATCAATTTGCAAGACCTTAGTTCAGCGAAGACATTTTGGCACAAAACTTTTGGATCAATGACGCATCCTCAATGATGGACGGCATAAATCTACCCAGATTCTGCTTTTGGGATTTTCTAGGCATTTTTGTTGACGGATCTCTCTCATTTTCTAACGGGCAAGGACCATCGTGGTTTCACCCCTGCGTCAAAGGCTGAAAGCACTGCTTGCCAATGCAACTTTTAGAACTAGACCTCTGTAAACATACCTCAGCATACAACGAAAGATAAGCTTGTGGGGGCCAGAGTTCCAAAATTTCATGAACCCAAGTCCATATCACGTAAGCAAGGTCTAGGATCATTTGACCTTTGAGTCAAAGGCAGAAAGAACTGTTGCCTATTGCAGCTTTTTGAACTAGACCTTTGTAGACATATCCTGGCATACTAAGAAAGATAAGCTTGTCGTAACCAGAGTTTCAAGATGACATGAAACCAAGATCCCCATTGGAGATGTCACTCGGACTGGGCACAAGCTTTTCAGCCAGAAAACCGGGATGGAAACCTAGGAAACATATTCTCTGGGCAAATTAAGGCGAGCTCACCTGATGAGGTACGAGGTAGAATAATATCGAAACGAAAATAAGCGAGGTAAGTCCAGCAACAGCAGCAGCACAAAGCTTTTGAGCTTGTAAGGGCCACTGCTGGGCATAGCTTCCAGGAGCTACTGGGACTCCACTCACCATGCCACACAGAAGCCCCAAGAATACCAAAAACAAAAAAAACACCTATTTTTAAGAAATAGGCCCGATTTTGACCCAAGCATGCTTGAAGGAATTGGGGCTTGTAGAGGCCACTGTTGGGTGTAGTTTCCAGGATCTACACGGGATCCACTCACCATGGCACACAGAAGCCCCAAGAATACCAAAAACCAAAAAACAACCTATTTTTAAGAAATAGGCCCGATTTTTGTCCCAAGCATGCTTGAAGGCATGCTTGAAGGGATTGGGGCTTGTAGAGGCCACTGTTGGGTGCAGTTTCCAGGAGCTACAGGGATTCTTCCACCCATGCAGGGCAGAGAGCCCCAAGAATCCCAAAGACAAAAAACAACCTATTGTCAAGAAATAGGCCCGATTACCAGTTTGGATGTGCAGGAAGCCATGGCAGGCATTCAGCCCCCCCCCAACAAATGCAGACGAGGTGAATGAAATTATTGAAATTAAACGAGGCGAGGTGAATAATTTCAAAACATGAAATTAAGACGAGGTACGAGGTGAACGAAATTAATGAAACTAATTTAATTCACTCAGATATTCTAAACATTTCAAAACTTAGCTGGATGAAAACTTTGACCGGGAGATCGGAGGTATGGGCATAGGCGCTTCCTAGATGGGACAGAACACCATCAAACAGACAGATAAGAAGACATAAAGAAATTTATCGGGACCTTCTACACTGGGACCCCATGCAGGCGATGGGGGTTTTTATGGCTTCTACACTGGGAGATGGGTTTTGGTAAGCCTAATTAAGCATGCGTCCTTCCTCCTAGTGCGATGCCAGGAGCCCCTAGTACCGTCCTTGCTCCTAGTGCGATGCCAGGAGCCCCTATATAGTGTTCTTCATGTCCACATGCTCGGCAGCGGCCTTGCAAAAGCGACTGGCCTTCATGTCCGAATGAGGTTCCAGCTGGCAACTGTCCGTGGAGGTGTTGGAGCGCGCCCGGGTCTCAGTGTAGGCCGTAGGCCTCTGATTTTCTGTAGGCACCATGCCTCAGTAGGTTAGCATGTTGCAGGTTGATTGTCAGATAATTCGCTTACAATTGCCAACCCCAAAAGAGGCAGTATTCTTGTTGATTGTTTCCTGGGCCCTCAAACAGCAATCATGACCCAAAAGCGATAAAACCAAGCAACACAAGCAAGGATATGGCCCTTTGCAGCTTTTGTTCAGTGCCAACGTGATCACACCAGTCTTGCCTCGTCTACAAGACTTCAACGATCTTCAACGACAAAACGCAGAGATCGAAGAAAAAGGCATCTGGCCTTCATTGCCCAAGGTTGCCACCCTATTATTTTGCCAAGGTGGCGCAGTAATCTTGCCCACCAGAAAAAGAACCGTCCCTTGGAAGTCTTAAACCCAGAAATGGTTCAATGTTGCAAGGTTCAACCTGGCCCCTTTGGGGGGGTTGTGAGCAAGCACAATATAGATGATACCTTATCCTGGCCTGAGACTTTAGCCTGGCTAGTGCGACCACCGACGTAGCCAATGCAGGCACTTCAGGCTAATGCCTGTGATGAAAAGACCTTTGGCATTATATTGGCTGCAGCTCCGCGCAGTGAACAATGGCTGGAACGGATGGAACGAGAAAGGCCAGAAGGGGCTGGCATGTGAACTGTTGATGAAGGTTTTGTCCCGAGCCGGTTGAGTAAAACTGGAACATTCCCCCCATTCAATCCAAACGACAGCAAAGGAAACACAAGCGCCATTTGATCCCATTTGTCGTAGTCTGTTATATCCGCACAGATGTCAAGGGTGTTTGCTGATGGCAGGATTTGGCCTAATACCATTTGCTACAATGCGGCAATAAGTTCGTGTTGCTTGCTTCGCACCATATTGGACATGGGCGGCCGGGCATGTTTTCACCAACCAATGCAACACATGTCCTTGGTGTACCTAGTGCATTATGATTCATTGTGTTTGCCCAAACTGCATCATTTTGCGGTGTCATTGTTTTCTTTGGTGTTTGTGCATGCAGGGTATCTAAGCCAATAGGTTTCTTCGTAACTGGAAGTTTGCACACATGGCCGATGTTGAAAAGGACATTCACATAAACTCGGAGTGATATGATAACATGTTTTGGATTTACAGTGGTTTGCGTTTGCGCCTTGGCTTATTCATGTTTGTTCTAAAGGTTGCCGAATCTTTCATGAGGTTCCGATTGGCCGACTGCTTTGCAGCTCTTCTCCTCCATGCAGTCAAAGAATGTGCAGCCAGATTTGCGCACCTGCAACGGCGCCTTGTGTCGTTCAAGGGAGGCTGCGGATGTGAGGGCAAAAAGATGCAAAAAGAGTATATACTGTATTTGGATCGATGGTGGGTCGAGAGAACCATTTCAGAAATAGCCGGCAGGACTTTTGATTTTGTTTTTCGTGACTTCTGTCTGGATCCTTAAGCAGGACTCACTTGGGGCTCAACTCCCAAGTGATGGTTTATGTAGGTTTTCCTGGAGATCCAATTTCACCAGTGGTCAAGTGAATCGTGGAGCTGTGCCCCAATTGCAGTTTTGGTTCCAGACATCCGTCGAATTAACTTTCCCATGATTTGCAGGCCTTTTTGGGGGGTGATAGGAACCTTGCAGGGCAGGTGGTGTTGCTAGGTGTCCTCTTCCGCAAGATGAAGAAACCCACAACTCCCTTGGTCCAGCGCTTTGCACCAAAAATCAAGTCAAGAGAAACAAGTTCCTAGCATCGACACAACAAATTTTATACTCAATCCATCTCAAACCCAAAGTCCACCTGCTTGGAGAGAAGGTACTTAAAGGTCAGAATGAATTCCACACTTTCTCATGTTTAGCTATCATACCGTAAATGTTCAGGATTTGGCTGGAGCCTCAAACACAAAAAACAGCATGTGGCCACCTAAACCAATTTGGGCCTCCAGATCGGCAATCTCTATATGTTATCCATGCGAACCTTTGACCAACCGAACACACCGAGCGAGATCTCGAGGTCTTCTGTCGAAGGTGCCCAGTCGAACGGCGGTGAACTTCTTCGAAGCTGGGCCGAGAAGCGAAAGGGAACCCCTCTTCTCAGGGCGTCTCAAGTCCAGGTCCAGGACCATCCTGGAGCTGGGTGTTCTGGCTGGAGATGCTTAAGCAGTGTAGGGTAGTGCTTCGGGGGCCCAGACAGGATGGTCCTGGACTCTAATTGGGCAAGATGCGAAATTGTCCAAGTACCGTATGACTGCGATCCAAGCACGGGAGGCTTCTTTTGAGGCTTCTGCACGGGCCAAAGGCTGGCAAAAGATCAGTCACACGGTTTTGGAGCTCATGAGAAAATCGTGCCAGAATAATTTTGCCCTCAGATTTATAAACCCCCCTAGAATTATGTCTTTTTTTTCCCTGCACTGATTTATAAAGGCCCCTAGAATAATGTATTTTTTTTTTTGGAGGGGTAGTTGTAGTGGATTTTTTTTTATTGTTATAGTTTACTTTTTCCCTTTTGAATTTGCTGGGATTTGCTTATCTTACAGGCTTTTGGATTGAGATTTCTATTATATAAACATTTGGAGATGTCCATTGAGATTTGATTCTTTTGGAGGCTTTTGGATGGAGATTTCTATTCAAAAATTTGAGATTTCCATTGAGATTTGATGCTTTTGGAGGCTTTTGGATCCCTTATTTAAAAGTATTAAACAAACAAAAAAAA